CACTGCGAAAATAGAGGCGTTGTGCTGAAATTTTGTAGAGTGAAAGATCTTTTCTTTTTTTTTTTTTCAGGGACATATCACTTCACCGCCTCCGAGCTCATCCTACTTGTAAGTTTTTTCCTTTCCCTTCGTAATGATGGTTTTTCCCACATCGAATAGCACTCACTCTTTATGAGTTTCGACGTCTGGCTACCAAGTTATGTGTCTGCTGGCCTGTGTTTCTATGTTTTTTCCCTTCGCTTTGTAAACTGACTGGAATCTTATAATTCCTTTTTTTGTAGTGGTTGGAAATAAAAGAATTTATTTTCAAAATAAAAGAATAAAAGAATTTATATCTCATTTGTTTTTTATTCTTCCATTCCACTTTTGTTTTCATTATTATGTCTTATTTTGTATTTAAGTCCAATGCATAGTGAGAATTTTTACGGAATATGAAAAAGCATATTGGCGACTAGCGCACAGAGAAATTCTTTTTTGGAAAATTTGTTAAATTAGAATTTTTTAAGTGCCATTAGGAAAATCAGCCCTTTTACGATTCTTTTCGATTATTGTTATTGCCGCATACAGATATCGCCAAGTAGTCCTCACTTTTGGCCTGAAATGCTAGTTTAACTAACGACTAAGGAGTTCTGAAATTTCCGCACTATTGCTTTTCACCGGAAATCAATCAAGACGAGTTCAAATTGGGGAAAGAATGCAGTTTTAAATAATCTTTGAAGAAATTTGAGCTTTTTGGAAATGATTTTTTTCTTTTTTTTACCAAAAGGGGATTCCCTGGTAATCATCATCCATTGACCATTGTAACCTTGTCCTGTTAATCGCTAGAGTAACACAGTAAAGAAAACAAAAAAAAAAAATTATGACCTTTTGGAAACCATTCCTTATTTTACGGTGGGATTCCTCGGCCAGCCATTCACTCAGTGATCAGTGTTACCTCGGTGTGCTGTGGCAAGAATAATATTTTTGCTTTTATGATCGTGTTTATTTGTGTTGCTGCGGGGTTTTTATCAGAGTTCCAAGGGTTCCCTTTCTGCAGAGAGGATCCATTTGTTGAGCGAGTTGATTTGGATGAATCAACAGTGAATCCGCCGAACACACGCGTAGGTCCAGAGAATTTCCAGCTGCTCAAAGTTCTCGGCAAAGGCGGCTATGGAAAGGTATACAGTTGATTATTCACACTTCTGGTGACCTTAAATGCATTTATTTCTTATTGTAGTTAGGGCTAGAATTCTGGGAAGAGTTCCTTGCTTGCTCGGTCCAGCAAGGAGGAAAGAGGAAGAAAAAAGACTGCAAAAACTAGGGGCTAGTATCTACCACAAGGGCGCCGAACAGAGCCACTTGCTAGCATTCTGTGTAACAGTATTTCAGTAAGGTCGAGAAAATGAAAAAAATGCAGAAGCTTTTAGCGGAAAATGATTTTTTAAGCAAAAATTTTGGTATGCTATTTCTGTGGCATTTGAATAGGGCTGTTTGGGATGCCTTCGGATGACATCACGCTTTGTTTTGTTGGGAGCTCTCCTGCCCTCTAGAAATGGTTTTCCTTTCCTTTCTCCTTTTAGCATTAATGCAGAACAGCGCTTACAGTAAATTACTGGAATGCATAATTAGAGTTAGCAGTTCCACCGCCCACAAAATTTGCCCGCTGCCATTGAATTATTTAAGAACCTGCAGACCCTAGCAGGGAGGACAAAAGTATGTTTATGTATGCAGTAATGCAATATTTGGTTTTAACTGGTTTTTCAGTAAACTTTTTGAGAAATAATAGACCAACAGGATTGTTCGCAAGCCATGTGTATGGTCTTATTTTATGGTGCAAATTGCCTTTATCTTTCAGATGTAGTGGGGTGATATTTTTCAATGCAGTCTGTGTTTCATCCCTTAGCTATAAACACAGATCGGACTATGTATGCGGGTAGGAGCGGGAATCGTCAGTACAGCCTCCTACCCGCCATGTATTGAAAGGACGTGTAGCTAATTTGCTAGAAGGATGAATGAAAGGAAAAGATAAAGGAGAGTAAGAAAGAGAGAAAGTAAAAGTAAGAGATTTTGAAGTAAAACTGAGAAGTAAAACTAAGAGATTTTGAAGTAAAACTGAGAAGTAAAACTAAGAGATTTTTTGGTGAATATTTTCTTGCCAGGACAACGTTTTGGCCGTAAGACAACTTCTTATGCAAAATTTATAAATTTCTACTCCTCTTACTATTTCTGTGGGATTAATCTGGAGGTATATGGTTCAGGTATTTCAAGTTAGAAAGACAAGTGGTCAAGATAAAGGGAGGATTTTTGCGATGAAAGTGCTGAAGAAGGCAACTCTCATTCGAAATCAGAAGGATACAGCGCATACAAAAGCCGAACGGAATATTTTGGAAGCTGTCAAGGTGAATAGCTCTTTGTTCTGTTTTGAATTTGTTGATGTAAGGTATTGCCAGCTTAAAAGTACATTCTAACAACGGAATATTTCCTCCTAAAAACGGGAAAAGGACAAGTGCTTCGTTTTATTTCCCCGTAGGAATGTCATTACTGCTGCTTGGGAAACTATATTCTTACAATACCGTTGTTTCGGCACTAATATTATGAGCGATTTTGAAGAGAAGCATCAATGCTGGCATTGCAGAGCCCGTTCATTTGCGAATTGCTTTATGCTTTCCAAACCGGCGGCAAATTATACTTGATATTGGAGTATCTGAGTGGTGGTGAACTATTCATGCATTTGGAGCGTGAGGGACTTTTCATGGAGGTAAAGTTTTTGTTATCAGACTGTGAAATTTCTTGTATTCACATCTTTTTCCTTTTATAATTCTGAGGATTTTGGTGGCTGCCAAAATTGATCAAGGTATTTTGCTATTTTGATCCACACTGTTTTAGGGTTTTCGCCCAGAAATCTGGTTTTTTTAAATCGCAAACTAGTATTAGCGTCTCATTCTTGTAAAAGAAGTACCTCAGTTTTTAGTTCAGCTTTATTTGTTATTCTAAGAACACATAAGTCGTAAAAATATTTTATTAGATAAGACTTTCTGAGCATCTTCCAAAGCAGGGGATTTTGTCAGGAATATCTTCACGTTTGCGAGGAAAAGTAAAATTTAATGTGCATAACTTGTTGTCTGCTTGCTGCTGGCCTACCAGCTGCACCCCCTTGAGTGGTACCTATGAGGGACGATGCGGTTACTTTAGCGGCTAGCACAGGCGGATCCGGGGCGGATTACTACGGAGGGGGGACAGGATGCAGAGGAAGAGCGGGGCTACTGGGAGGCGACGGGGGTGGTTCCAGAGAGGGGAGGTGGGAGGAGGGGGAGAGCCAGATTAAAACTATGCAACAACTAGGAATGGAACCTTTATGACCTAGAACTTTATGGAATTTATGAACAAACCTGGGCTTTTACAACAAGGACCCTTCGCCTCTTCCCCCTTCCCCTCCCCCCTCCCCCTTCCCTGCCTGAATCGCCCTTTTGCGGCCAGGAGATATCACGCGCGCATAGCAGCGAGTTTTACGTGCTTCCCAGGGAAGAATGGTCTGAGACATTAACGGTGTGTCTTGCATCTCAGCAACGTTGGATAGCCAGATCAGCCATCCAAGCGATATCAGTGGTTCTGGACGCTGCTGGGTTGTGTGTTTAATATCAGTGGCACTGGAGCTGCTGGAACAGCTGCAGAAAAGATGTACGATTAGTCGTTGGTTGTAGTGAGGAAAGACTGAAAGTTCTTTGATTTGAAACACTCGAGACTTCTCTTATCGTAATGGCTTGAAGGGGCCAGCATCTGCCAGCGTTACGACCAAGAAATAAATAAAAATAACTCGGAAAAGT